GTTAAGACTTTGGCTTGTTAAGGTGGAGATAGTTTGCAATATCCAAGAAATTGGGCTTGGGAAGAAAGTTTACGCGGAAAAACGCATAATGCAAAGCCTGTTTCGCTCCTGGCTCCGATATATGGCTTCATGTGGGAGCGACGAAACGCAGTGTTCAATACCCTTTCAAAAATATTAGGCTTCCCATTCGTATTAAAGGTTTCATAGAGAGGAACATATTGATCACATCCGTTATTGTCATGTGCTTTTTCTCTCCCTAAAATGCAAAATAATTCAATATGTATCAACAGAGTAATTATAAAAATTATGGGCTAGAGGTTCGGCCATTGTAGGCACTTATAGATATGCGCACCGTATAGTTTTGTGGAAGTTTTTATGCGTAGGGAGCGTTGTGATAGGCTTTTTAATATTGTCTTATTCGGCGTTTAATGTAAACGTGCATAAGTAACTGTTTTGTTACAATTTTCCTGTGGCTAAAGACCAGCAACAATCGACAATGTGTCGTGGGAAATGTAAGTGGGGTGCATAGACGATATTTTCCAGTCTTGGTTTATTTGCTCCATAGTGATGCGTAGCAAGCCATTCACATCGATGCACTTTTGAAATAGAATAATGATGCTTTTGATTTTACTACACGGTCTATTCTAGTATATACTCGCATTTGTGACCACAAAAGGATTCACAATTGCTCTTTGCTAGAACGAACAAAAATCCGATTCAAAACTACACGAATCCCGAATGACAATGTTTCGTAACTTTTACACTTTGTCTTGCAACGTCATGGACAAAACGTCCTAGAAACCACCATCGCATGCCACTCGCCGCCCCAAGGCCGGTGTTAAAGGCACAAATTTGCTTCCATATTATCAAATAAAGACAGCATTTTTAACCTCAGACGACATCAAGATATCAGGTGAGTAAGCCGTGACATCTTATAAATATCATTAAAACAATTCATTTACCGACTTTGTCTGAGGTTAACCACAAAGAAGACATCATGAAACACGATTTGCGCAACGCTTTTAAGGCAGGATACTTTGAGAACTGCTTGACAAATAATTTCATAGAACTCTGAGATATTTCGGTAAGTTCTTAACTTATACTCCGTACAACTCACCGAGACCTCTCGACTTCGACGCCTGTGATTTGGGCACCCCTTCACATAGCACAGTGCATTAGGTGTTACAAGGTGGCAGCTTAAATTATTAATTAATTTGGATTCTTTCTATTCGTCCAGTCTGCAGATAGTTGGAACATCCGCCTTCAGCCACGTGCCATAGTTTTGTGAAACTCAGTTTTCGCCTTACCTTGACCACTGGTGGCTCTGAGCACTGCTAGAAGTGTTGAATATTTCCTTAGTATGTTTCAGTAATTGCTTGATATCTTCTTCTAAACAGCACATCTTGGTGCATTTAAGGTTATTATGTCATCATCATAGCTCCAGTTGTCGAAAGCAGCATGTCCGTTCACCGAATGCCTTAATCTCAAGAGAGACAGACTGTTTGAAGTAACAGACTGCCTGGGGCCCCGCCCGCTCACCGTAGGTGGTTGATGTAGCTGTTAACAGAGATAACGAGGTCCGGGCGGCAGGATGCTGGGGGCAGCAAAAGAAAAAGATTTGTGCATCCTATTCCGCCATTCAGGAAATTGGTTCGTCACGCTCATCCCAGATAATATCCTAGACGCCTGCCATGACCGTCATACTGGCGTAGCCATTCTCTCTACGTCCACGTCATTAATTGACTCACTCGGTTCGGGTAGCTGTCTATCGTAATCGTCTTATATGATAATATATATATATATAATTATATATATAATATATATGTATATATATAGTCTATATATATATAATATATATATATATATGTATATTTACATGTATATATACATATATGCATATACATATATATATATGTATATTTACATATATATATATATATATATATGTATATTTACATATATATATATATATATATATATATATATATATATATATATATATATATATATATATATATTACCGGAAGCGTAGACATAATGCTGCCGATGAAGCTGACGTCGACATGAGAGCAAGTTTGGACCTGTTTTATGACTGAGCCGTAAGTGAAATAAAGTTCACTGCTCTCGGCTGGAAATACAGGCGCTGCTCCTCAAGATTCCGTTATCTAGCGTTGCTTCGAGCGTGGCGGAGGATCGAGTGCGCTCCAGCCACCAACCTGTCGCTCTGCCGGGCCGGTCCTAACCCCGAGGTATGCAGGCATTGCCCGCGCACGGCATCGGACCAGACGGCAGCGCGCTGCTCGGCAGGATGGCCATGGCCGTGTGTCGGCGTGCTACCGTACTCCCTGACTGCAAATCAGCTGCGGCGGCGGCATCCCATACGGAATGACCTCTGATGTTGATGCACGGACACGCAGGCGGCATACTTTCTAAACGAAACGTTGCGTGGTTTTCGTGGAAATTCGAGAAGAAAATTGGGCTTCCTACAATCGGCCTTTCAACCGTGATAAGTGCAGCACAACGGCACAATTGTCATTCGTGTAATGGGTGGTTCTGCTCAGTTCACTGCACTTGACCTCACCGCATGAATAATGCAGCGCGAAGGGCACGCCGCGTGTGTGCCACGAGCAGCTGTAGCCAAACTTCGCGGATAAATTGCAGCGTTGAAAGGCAGCAGCAGAGAGAAATATATCCGTATAACAAAAATGAGCATGAGACGCAAAACATTCCATGTATTGACTTAACAAACAGTTAAGGCCGGCTCCATCACTTTAGCATCTAGGCTGCATTCGGGAAAAAGCCTTAAATGCGTTTGGGTAGTGCGCGAAGTGGTAATGCGCTGGGTAATGGATCTTACTATCTGGCCGGATACCAGATGAGCCAGACAGTAGCAATTATCCTCCCAGGCAGTGATATCTCGAGAAGCTGTATTGCAGGGAGGCCTTTTATAAACATTGCCGCGTAATTTATCACCGATGCAAACATCATGTTCGTGCGCAATAAATTTTAAGCTGAGGCATTCCGTCCACCCCTTATTTAACTCTTAGTGCGTCTCAGTTTTCCCTAATTCGTACGTCTATTTTTGCCATCGGGTTCAGTACAACAAGGCTGTCTAGTCTGATATCCAAGTATGGCTTCGATCACGTCAATTTATAGTAACTAACAAGTGAGTGCTAGGACATGATACCTGATTTGGATAGCTGTAGCTTCAATTCATTTGGAGGCATTTACATGAAACCACCGTTGACATCTGTTGGCCACCTAGTTTAACATTGTAACATCAATGGTTCGCCACAACGGGGACATATATACCGGAGGGAAGCACTTTTTTATGGAGCTTGCGCGTCATTGGTCGTACGGCCTTTCTTGACATCATGCGCGACTTTTCCAAGTCCCTTTCATCCGCTGTTTGAGCATTCGCTGCAACTTAAACCCCATCCCCATAGACCCCTCGTCTCATCGCATCCCACGGTGTTCAGTGGGTCGAATCTGAGGTACGTCGGGTGGATTTTCATCTCGTGACACGCAAGCATCCTTGCGGTTCGGCCATCAACTGCACGGTAGTTCGTACATAATGGGGAAGTCCCGGATCTGACCGAACACAAATTCCCATAAACACCGAAATTTGCCAATTGAAATGTGACAGGAAATGACCGGTTTGTCCTAAAAAAGAATTGAACCTCTACCAGCTCGAACGAAATGTTACCTGCTATGTTCAAACAAGACATCAAAACGTTATGTAGTGTTGGATGGGCGTTTTTCACACTTTCGCAGGAAGAGCAGGACCCCGAAGGGGCTATCCCAAAACTGAACAAGGTGGATCCAAGCAGAAGACGGCATTGCATTGCTTGCGCAAAGCTGTATGAAGCAGGCCCGAAGGACACAACAAAATTCCAGTCGAGATTTCTTGCGGTGGCGCGTTTTACGTAATGTATACCTAGATGACTTAACATTTGGATCTCGTGGAATGGTATAATTACGTAGTATCACGATGCACAGAGGGTGGTCTATTCTTCGACGGACATACCTTGACGGGCAACTGAACATAAAATCATCCAAAATGACGTCCGCAAAGAGGTCTCTGCTCATGATCTAGGGTATGGTCTTTAGGTAGGGTCTTTAAATTGTGACGGAAATGGTAAAAATGTTGTAAACAGGTTTTTGAAGGCTTTAGGGCAAAACGCTTAGTAGCTTTACAGTTTTCCAGAAAAATCTCGCAGAAGATCTTTGGTCCGTCACCAAGCAAGCGTGAAAAGAACCGATGAAGCATTTTATATTTATAGGACTAGTTGATTTAGTTTGAGCCTTCTTCACCTTACATACCATACGCAAGCACATTCACTACACGTGTATGTTGTTCCATGTGTTAAAAGACTCCATATCGACGGGCTTTCATTTTGTACAAGAATAGGATGGGATGGAGAGATTTCGGCCGCTTTAAATTATCATATTTGACGTCCTATAACAGCCTGATTATGCTAATATTACTCATAGGCTCCGGTAAACAGTCAAGTTCCATTTGTCCCGTATCTAGTATAAGGCGGCGCATAACTAGGTGTGTCTACACACAGCGATATCTACATCCGCGATGAGCTGAACTATGCCAGGGGGAAGTGAGCCGTCATGGGATATGCACGGTGAGGAACAGTTGGGTTAATAGAAGTGGGCCAACACACTAGGTTCAAGCATGAGCTTTCTCACTGAGCCCTAGTGGGACAGCCTGCGCGCATATTGCGGGCGCATAAGTGAATCAATAGACACCTTTGTATTCACAACATGTACTATAGCTTTTAAATGACATGCCGGATGCCGAATGAATGAATACCGAATGAATACCGAATGACATGCCGAATATTTGTAACCGTTGAAACCCCTTGCAAATGCCACTCGTATAATGAGCCGAGCCCCGGGCATGACGCGAACGGCTCGCTTCGACCTGTGCCGAAGCAAACACAGCAGACGGCAGGGTGACAGACCGCGCACCGCCGCCGCCAACCGACCATGTCGAAGATCTGCGTGAGCGTGATGCCCAGCTGGATGCTGATGGAGTGCGAGGCGTTCAGCAGTGGCCGCACGTCCGGGTCGTAGCCTCGCACGATGAAGTCCATCAGCTTCTTCTCTTCATTGTTTTGCAGTCTGCCGTCCTGTGGCACCTCCGGCTGGCCTGGAACAAACAGTGGCCCAGGTCAATACGACAGCAAGGTGACCTTACCCTGCTCTCGTGCCCACAACTCATCGGTAAGTTCTGTTGTCGAGTCCACAAGTCTTGCTGTCGGGTCCACAAGTCCTGCTGCCGAGTCCACAGGTC